CACAACTCTGCCAGGTTGCGGTTCATAGAAAAATGATCTGCCCACCTGTTTAAGAATCATTCTTTAGTTCAAATGAAATAATTATTCAAGTACATAATCATGGATTAGAATCAATTAATTATACAATTTCACTAGTTTACTGTTATTACATTAGTATTATGACGTTATAAAGTAACTCACAGGAACAGCATTACGCGCTGTTCCATGTCTTAGAATGATGTCTAAAGCTTGTATACATTTCTGTTCACTTTGAAATTCCATGGAATCATATTTCATATTTTTTAACCATGTCATATCAAGAACTGCTGCTTTCTTCATATATATTTTAAAAACTCGATTTTTTTGACGCTCAACGTCAAAAACTGTCACCTCATCTGGTATCTGTAAATAGAATTAAACTATGCAGTTATTTTTAGTCACTTTAATTGTAAATGCAGTTGCACAATTAGCGAAATATTCATTACAATTAATTGCTTACATACACTTTGATCACCGAAAGGAAGTTCTTTTGCGCTGTAAGCATTCTTTCTCCCATCAAATGCTGGATATCTATTGGGAAAATGGTTTTTCCTATATTGTTCAAACACTGGTCTCATCAAAAATTTGGGTTTGTCTGGATCAATGACTACGTCGTAATGTACGATACATGTTTCAAAAGTTGGTTTAAAAACAAGTCTGAACATGTTTGTTTCTACAGTGATTTTTCTTCCAGCCTGTCCTGGAGCACATCTTCTTGGTATGTGTTCAATATACATGTTTTGCAGTTCCGATGAGAGTACACTTCTTCCTCTATTACTCAATTTAATGCCCTCCTAAATGAAGAAACAATAACATTGTACATTTATCTACTGAATTATAAAATACGATTTGTACTCCTGTATTAGATATATCTTACCATTTGCTGAACTATAGATGATTGTGAGGAAACTGATTCCAATTGCTGTTGTGGCTTGGGTGGTGTTTGTTGCTGTTGCTGTTGTGAAGTAGGAGGTAGTTGTTGCTGTTGGCGTTGTTGCCAAACAGATGGTGGACCCTGTTGCTGCTGTTGTGGAACAGGTTCTCCTTGTTGTTGCTGTTGTGAAGTAGGAGGTAGTTGTTGCTGTTGGCGTTGTTGCCAAACAGATGGTGGACCCTGTTGCTGCTGTTGTG